TGCACTCCCGTCCCTGGCTTCTTCCCCAGCACGCCGTCAGCAGCAGCACCCAGTGTCCCGGGGGAAAAGGCCCCGTGGGTGCAGATGGCAATGCGCAGGTCTGAGGCCAGCTCCTGGGTGACAGGCTCAGGATAGGTGCGGGAGAGCTCCTCCAGCAGTGGCACCAGCCGCTTCAGCACAGTGAAGTCACTGGATTGTAGCTATGGGGAGAGAGAAGCAGCACCGGCATTGCTGCGATGGCAATGGAGGTTTGCTTCCTGGGATGCTCCTGGGAGCAAGGCACATGGACCAGTCCCAGGGTGTTGCAGAGAAGGTGGGAAGGGCAAGAGCCCAAAGGAAAGCAGTGTCCATGCAGTACTCTGGTGCTCGGAATGGGGGCTGCGCTGGGGACATCCCTCCCACCATTCCTGCCTTTGGTCCTGGTTGGAAGGAAGCTCCAGGCAAGGAAGCTGCAACCTGTCCTGAGACTGCAGCACCCAAAGGGGAGAAATGCCTGCCCTAAATGGAATTTAACTGCTACAGCAAAATCTGGGCTGTAAGACCTGAAAAGTGATGCTTTAGCAGAGATTTTGGGGACCTTTTGGATGACTCTGTAAAAAAGCCCTTGGCCACTGAAACCCCAACAGCTTTGCAGCTGTTTTGCATTCAATTTGCCAAGTCAAGTTGCTTCCATTAACACCAGAGCGGAGCAGGAGCTTGCCTGGGAGGAGGCCCATCAGAGTTGCAAGACTCTGGTTTTAAGTTTTCTCCAGCTAAACAATTTTCCCAGTGTCAGAAATTTAGCAATAAGACACAAGAAATAATCTTTTCCCATTAACAGTTGCATTTTCCTTTGGGCATGTCTCGGGATGAAGCAACCCCTACAGCTCAGTGATGTAAGTGGAAGCTGGACTGATTACAGTGTGCTAACGAACACATGCTTCCTCCCTGATTCCAGTTCAGCCACTGTGTGATGGGGCAACTGCGTGATGCACTGGCTTTGGAGAGGATGTCTTTAAAGAAGCCCTTAGTGACATGGTTTAGTGGTGGTCTTGGCAGTCATGGGCTAACAGTTGGACTTGATGATCTTGAAGGTCTTTACAAGATAGTTGATTCTATGATTCTATGATGGTCAAGGATGGTACAGCCAATACTGGGAAATTCACTGTGCTCTGGAGATGGAGCTCGTGGATGTCAGGGACGCAGAGGATGCAGTGTTGGTATTTAAAGATGCTGTACGTGATTGCACTGCTCTGTCAGAAGCTTCTTAAAAGCAGATTTTGGATTATAAATTAATTAACCAGGCTCTCAGGGCTGCCTTGACAAGGTCAAACTCTCCATGAGAAAAAATAATACACATGTATGCACACATATACATGCTGGGACAGAACAGAGACCCCAGTGCAGTGAGCACCCAGACTGCAGCCCCCCATGGCTGGGCACAGTGGGACGGTGCCCAGTGTCCCCTCCCTGCACCCCAAGGCCACCCAGCACTCACCTGCACGGCTCCACCAAGCATCGCAGCCACCAGCCCCATGGCCATGGCGAGGGTCTGTGCCTCTGCAGCCGCGCCCGGGCCCTGAGCCGGGCTGGCAGAGGCCCGCTGCAACGTGGCTGCCCCCAACACA